ATTATAATGAAACATACATGTCATGTAATTATTGACTATTGGCGATAGTGCTAATCAGTGAATGGATATAATCATAAGAGCCAGTTCTGATTTAAGGTCAGAAGAACACAGATATTGCTGCGCCTGTAACGACTCACTTGTGGTGTCAAACTGAGTTTGAATTTCGTGTACCCACAAACGCTCAAAATGGTGCTTCAACAACAGCATATACTTAGAGATTTGATGTTAGTTTACTCCTAAACTCGAGGACAGTTTGCACCCGAAGTGGTAGCAACCCAGCTGCCAATGGTTTTCGTGTTAAGTCACACTTAGAATATTTACACAATAAATGGTGGCAACCCAGCTCCCACCGGTTTTCGTGTTAAGTTACACTAGCTAAGTTAACACCATAAATGGTGGCAACCCAGCTCCCACCAGTCTTTGTGTTAAGTTACACTAGGAAACTTAACACCTTAAACGGTGGCAGCTGTTGTAGCCGTCAATGTTCGATTGCGTAGATGGAACCACAGGTTAAACCGGTCTTAGGCTGGAGTCTATCACTTCTGGGACGTTCTTGAGCTGATCCAGTTTGATTGAATCCTGCGAAAGCGAGAGTTCTGCTCTGGTGAACGTTGAATTGTCGGGCGACTTAATTCAGTTTGAAATTGTCCAGCATGAATATGGACGATGACCTTGTTACGTGTATGGTAGGGTCCAATCTTTGCATACAACAATGGCGGCGTTTCACAGTAGCAAAATGGCAATCGCCTGTTTAACGCCGAAGCTTTGTAAATGATAGTTTAATGGGCGATTTAATTTCAAGTTTATCTCGGAATACATAAACATTTTTTTCTGCACAGCAACGAAAACCTCATTTTTTCAGGTCTTAAAAAATATATTTGGCGAGATGCCAAATTGCTCGTATCGGCATTTCGTATTTCGAAAGCACCTTCAATAACTCATTGCTTAAAGATTTTTTTCATCACAATTTATTTATTTATCGTTAGAGTACATAAAATAACGTGAATTATTTCCAGGTTGATCTTTTTGGTCAAAGTGTTGTTCGTTTTTTATTATATCTATATCTTATCTTTATATTTTACTTGTACTTATCATGTTAAAACGCAATAGTTTTGAAACTATTAAACTATACTAATGGACATTATACAATCATGGATATCTTCCACAGTGTTAATACAGGTATACATTACGTAACTGTATCTATCCCGTTTTTCAAATTATTTGTAATTTATCGTGGGGAAAATAGAAAACAGCCACAAACCGAATCCATATTTCAAAATTTATTTAGAGATACACAACACCTACGATACATAGATATATTTAGTAATACTTTAATGTCCACGGGGGAAGGTGTATGAAATTGACCAACGCAATGAGTGAACATGTAAATAGTCTTTTGACAAATTACCCACTGTTTGGACAAACGTATTAAAATATGTGTATCTAAATATAATAGGATGGTGTGATCGGTATAAAGATTAGAAATAACAATTATCATTCATTTATTTTGTTAATAGTATAATTAGAAGTTCACTGACCTTTGTGTTGTTCAACTACGACTATTTGTTTGCATAAAATATATTGAACGCAAACATAATATATTGTGCGTACATATATATATATATATTCTGTGTAGGTCCCCCAACTGATCTCCGTAATCTACATGGTCTACCGATCTACGCAGCATAATTCATAATATCTATACTATTAAATTTGGAGACCAACATTCTTTAGCCGGTTTGTTCCCGAGCCGACGCTCGTATGAAGTATTATATAATAATAAATAGTTAGTGTATGTAATGTACTTTATAACTTCATATAGTAATTGCTTTAATTAGCGTAGCTTACTTAATAAAATCCAAAATAAAAGTTTCGTAGCTGGTTCATTACCGTCTACGTCTTGTAAGCAGGCGGAAATGGTTTTGAATTTATGACAACTCGGCCCGTGTCCAAAGAAATACTACAAACTAGCACCACTGAGAAATGTTTTAATCATCAGTGTTCTGGGTTGTGTCTTCTTCTTTTCGGAGTTATTTCCTCCGTTCTAGGAGCACCTGTGTAGCACCGAGACAGAAGCTACTAATTGGACATTCAAACTCCTATGGAAGAAGAACACCGCCATCACTGGAGTCCGAATCTATACTTCAACAGCCATCACTGGAGTACAAATCTATTCCACACCAGCCATCACTGGAGTACAAATCTATACCACACCAGCCATCACTGGAGTACAAATCTATACCACAACAGCCATCACTGGAGTACAAATCTATACCACACCAGTCATCACTGGTAGATAAAATGAGAAAAATCAGTGTCACCAAAAGGGGAGTCGAAAAAATACTTAGATATTGCAAGATCTGTTGGCCCAGACAATATCCACCAGATTGTGCTTGAAGAACTGGCAAATAAACTCTTGGATGTAATGGCTCACTCCTTTCAACGTATCATATTGACAAGGGAACCATAAAAATTGAAAAGAAAACGTCAACATCTGCCTTATATTTACGAAAAAGATAGATGAATCCCACGTAACTATCGGTAGACCGGTCTGATTCACATACATTTTATGCTAAATTTTGAAACATATTATTTGATCAAATTGATGCAGAATTTCGAAAAGAACACCATTTTCAACAACAGGCAACACGAATTTAAGAAACATCAAAGCTGCGAAACTCAACTTGTAAATGTCATTCATGATTCGGCAAGTGCCATCAAAAACCGGCAACAAGAAGATATTTTCATTTTAGAGTTTGCAAAGGGAGTAGAGACTGTACCAAATGAACTACTGAAACTCCATAAATATGACGTACCAAAAAAAAAACAGCATGATCTGGATAGACCCATGTCGGTCGCAATACGTAGTTGTGAATAAGGGGATTAGACTGTACTTTCAAGAGTCCCTCAAGGAACAGTTCTAGGGCCATTCTTGTTCCTCATTCATTTTAACGACATGGCGGATCATGTCACATCGGAGACCAGACTATTAGCAGACGACGGTGTGTGCTATAGAGATAAACAACAACCAGGTCTGCCTGGGTCAGCCGTCTGTTTTCCTCTGTGGGACATTTGTGTAAAAAGTTCAAAACTGGCAGCAAGATTCATAACAATAACTAGTTACATGGGGCAAAATCTGTCGGAATTTTGGGTCCTCAACGCTCTTCAACTTCGTACTTTATTTGGCCTTTTTGAACTTTTTAGTTCTAGCGTCACCGAGGAGTCATTTGTAGACGAAACGCACGCGTCTGGAGTACAAAGTGACTAATCCTGGCATCATTGGAGAGTTTATTTACGAAACAAGTATCATGATCTTAATCCTAAACCAAATCAAACTGGAACCCCTGAAAGATAGGCGAAGAAAAAAGAAATTGATTTTCGTTTTTGCAAAGGCATACATACACTATCAAGCCGAACTACCAACAGAAAATCTTCAACGACAACAAAACACATGCATATTCAACACTCAAAATCCCAGGCAAGACGGACACTAATAATTCAGCTTCCTTCCAAATACAATTGCAGATTTGAACCTTCTACCTCCAAATATCACCGACAAATACAATTCGCGGAAGAACCAGATAAGATGTTCACAGAAATTGTAAAAGGGGGTGGGGGGGGGGGGGGGTCCAAATTTTAATGTCGAAGGACGCGACATCATATACAATCAAGATCAAGATCACGGCCACTAAAAATACAGGATACGGGTCAATTTTATTTCCGTTCTTGTTTCAGCAAACATCGGCAGATTTTGGTACCGTATATTATTATATCGGCCGAGGTGGGCCGAATGCCGTTATTGTTTCAGCCTTTGGTTTTGTAATCGCCAAAACAGTCTTTTTTCTTCTGAGAAATTTGTGTAAAAAGTTCAATGCTTGGTTTGAGACCACAGCTATATTTTGTATATCAAACCCGGTGATTTGTCCCGAAAATAACCTCTCGATAAACACAATTAACTACTTTGAAGATTCATGCACGTTTTCCTAAAATATATCCGTACATATTTTTTTCTGAAACTACTGTAAAAACTTAATGTGCCTGGCCCAAGTGAGGAAAAAGTAAAATAACAAAAATACCGAACTCCAAGGAAAATTCAAAACGGAAAATCCTTTATCAAATGGCAAAATCAAAAGCTCAAACACAAACGAATGGAAAACACTCATTTGTCGTCTTATTTCATATCAAAAAGTTTGTCAGATGACAGAATGTGTTTCATCCGTTACTACATGCATTCGTCAGTTATTGCAGTTATGTTAAAATTTATCGTAAATGCAGATTGTTTATGCACTTCTGCACGTTCCATTTATTCATTTAAGGCTTTGTTTGATTTACAGCTGTAAAATGTATAGACGGTATTGTTGGAGACGAGATGTTTTGATTTTTTGTGTCATTGGGTTGCCGTCTCATCGACTTATGCTCCATATCCTTTCCTTCAAATTAAGGATATTAGCTGATGGTTGACTTTTTTGTCAGGTATTCGGAATCCTGGGTTTATCCATGAAGTGGCATTACAGTTTTGATTGCTATACCCTATTCTTTTCATTATTTTATAACGGGTTAAAAAGTCGTTTTGGAACATCTTGTAAAAACCATGTTATTTTTTCAAAGTTTTTTTTTAAGGAAAAGAGGTGCCAATGTTGATTGTATGAACATCCGAGAATCATTTCCCGCTAAATTTTGAACGGCTTTCAGCTCAAAAAGTACACGGACCTTTCATATTTTTTCATTTTTTTTTATTTCTTGTTCCGTTTTAAAGCTTGTTATTTTGAAACAGAGCAGCCAACATCCTAAATGAACAAAGTGGATGTGGTTATGAATAAAATCAAATATGCCCCTTTGCTAAACGAGAAATAAAGAATGAATTCAGCAGAAACAGCCTATTTAAGATGCAGGCAACTCAATGTTAAGACGGCCAACTTATAACAAGTTTGCCATCAGCCAAAGATTTGTCTGTTTTGAATTTATTAAGATTTTCTCAATATCATTTGTGAACAAAAACATCTTTTTATATATTTTTTATTAAAATATATCCGAGACTGGTTCGTTGGTATTACTCGAACTGACGTCTCTTGCTGAGATAGTCCTGCAAAATATTTAAAAAAAAGAATGAATTAGACGAATGCATGATATTATTAAATGTAAAATTATACATAATGTGAAAAAAAATGAATAACTTAAAACTTGGTTTAATGTTACCTAGGTAACGAATAGTGAAATTACCACTTGTGTACAACTATGTTGATCAAAGTGAAGTTTATTTTCAACTTCATGCCTAAGAAAATACGTTTTTATTTTCCTGTTTTCTATTAGAGGGTCTGGATGGGGATTACAGAATAAAGGATAATGGGCAAAATAAAGAATAGATAAAAAATTAAAGAATTAAGAATTGAAGGAACCCCCCCCCCCCCCCTTTTATTTTTGCGTTGGTTGGTATCGCCATATTGTAAAAATTAAATTTTGTAGTGTAAAAGGGGCTTTTGGTATTTTCTCGACTGGTTTCGCATTGTGTCATGCCAGGACTTGAATATCGTAATATAGGTCCTATATAGGTTATGGGTTGATCATTGTTGAAGGCTATACGATGACCTGTTATCCATGTCCTTTGGTTCATGGTGGATAGTTAACCAATGATCATAGTAACGGCTATTGGTGTATCATTTATTTATATAGCTTTTTGTTAGAGTAGATCTTAAAAAGTACAAATATGCAGTTATAATTCTATCAGTCAAAATGTTGGAAAGTTTAAAAGGAAATTAGCAAATTATGACATTTGAAGATGGAAATTAAAGGAATTGTTATGGTGAAATTGTAACCATAGAAACCAAATGATGGACATGCGTTTTATTCTTATTTTTGCAAGTTATTTTTTTTTTTTTTGTGAGTTATCGCCAAATTAAAAAAAAACAATATAGAATCCAATTTATCAACTATCAGTGTTTCCACCATTGCATGATGCATACACAGAGTGGTTCTTAAATACATGCTATGAAATTCTTTTCATTTAAATTTGAAATACACATTTCAATTAAATCCATCGACTTACCTTAATTTTCTGAAGAATGTATCGTTTTTGGTAGTTAAATCTTTTGGGAGCCATGGTTGGAGCTTGCGTGGGAGCCATGGTTGGAGCTTGTGTGGGAGCCTTGGTTGGAGCTTGTGTGGGAGCCTTGGTTTTAGCTTGTGTGGGAGCCTTGGTTTTAGCTTGTGTGGGAGCCATGGTTGGCGCTTCTCTGCGAGCCATGGTTGGCGCTTCTGTGGGAGCCATGGTTGGCGCTTCTGTGGGAGCCATGGTTGGTGCTGCGATAAGAAAGTACACAATACAAATTAAGAACACCCCAGAAATAGACTGTTACTGGAATAGTTAACCAGTCAATCAGGAATTATGTATATACATAAATAGAACACAATAAACTAAGATGTATTAGCTACAAAACAATCATGCATATGCAAGACCCTGTTTATTTTCGTTTTCATTTATATACTTCACTCCTGATTGATTGGTTAACAGTCCCTCTAACCGTGTCCTAAACATGGTCTAGATGATACTTTTCATATATTTATCACCTATATTAAATACAATTACTTTTCATATATTTATCACCTATATTAAATACACTTACTTTTCATATATTTATCACCTATATTAAATACAATTACTTTTCATATATTTATCACCTATATTAAATACAATTACTTTTCATATATTTATCACCTATATTAAATACAATTTATGTACAAAGCAAATTACACTTATACGATATGATGTTCTCAAAAATTTGATTGAAAGGCTGCAAAAAAGCATTGATATATATATATATATATATATATATATCAAAATGGTCCAAAGAGAAATTTCAATGGGAACCACGACCTTCGGCAGAAAAACTGACAATCCTAGTCGATAAAATTGGGAGTCGAGCGTACCTACCACGTGCGAAATTCCAACTCACAACCACCTAGGTCCCTCAAAACTATATTGATATTTGTTACTTACTGTCAAAGATGTCCAAACTTCGAATCAATTTTTCAGCAAATTGCATTTTCTCTGAGGCTAAAATAAAATAACATTATCAGCATATACTTGGGCACTGCATGGAACATTTTTTTTAACAAGCAGTTAACCTTAATAAAAAAAAAAGAAATTCTCAAATCGTACATAAACAAATCTTAGATTCTTCATTTATAAATGTTTTGTTCACTTTCATACTGAATTTCATCCAAGAAATGTTAGGAAACATGAATTTTCAAAATGCATTTTAGAGAACATGCTTAAATTTGACATATCACAGGTCAACACATTTGTATAGAATGTTTTAAATATTCAGTCTTGTTTGAGCAACACTTAAGTCAAAATTGTCCTAGATTCGCATAAAAAATATTTTGATGGATTGATATTCACGTACTTATATGGATTCAGTGGACAATTTAAAAGTTCCAAAATCGATTAAACTTACATACAAACTTTCTGAAGAATGCAAGCATTTCACTGGTCGACCTGGCATCAAGGAAGGGCTTTAGTTCTGTTATAACTTTCATTGCAAACTTGTGAATTGTCCTTGTTAAAGTAATATGTAAACTATCCACAACTTTTGTCACAGACTGGCGTCCTTTTCCAACTTTGGGTACAATCTTCTTTAAAATTTTACTGAAGTGTTGGAACAGCTTGTTTTCTTCCCTGGAATTAACAAACAAAAAGAAAAAGCGTGTTAACCATTAAATATTTCCATCAAAACATTTCAAGTACAACATTTTTATTAATCTCCCCCTCCCCCAACAAAAAAAAAACCCAGACATAAACGAACAAAAACAAATGAAAACAAATGAACACAGGACAGACAAACACATTAATAATCCTATTGCATACATTTTTAAAAAAAAAGGCAGTATCTATGAAAGTAGTAGAACTTAAAAGCAGTGAATTAATCCTATTTGCCCCATACACGTTTTTTCTGAATATTCTTGAAACACGTTTTTTCGAAAGAATTTTAAAAATCAATAAGTTGAATTATTACACTTTTCAAGTGCATCGTATTTAATTCAGTAAAGATTTCTGTTTATAGAGTTCATGAGGTACAAGAGGGGCAACTTTTATTATAGAAAATTTAAGATTATTAAAGCGCTTAAACGCGTCTACCGGTACCGTCTATCGTGGATCTCGCATATGTATCTTAAACTTGAATACGATCTTTTTTTTAACTGAACTCGAAGTTGTCGGTCTACCACGACTACGTGTGTTCGGGAAACACGTTCAATTTCCAAATGATTTTGACCGATAAAAACCAACGTTTTCATAAAAAATAATAATAATCGCCAAAAGGTCAAGATTTGCACCAAAACAGCTTCAATTCTAATTTCATATACGAAATGTACCGTATTCTTATTTTTGGATGAAAACCGTAGATACTACACCTAAAAAGTGATTGAAATAAAGAACACGGTCATGTTAGTCTTATTCAATCACGTGATAACATCCGATATCCCTCTAATCATTCCCGTGATGCTTGCCATTATAAACTTAATCGGCAAGGGAACTTCCTCTTTATTCCCGTGATGCTTGCCATTATAAACTTAATCGGCAAGGGAACTTTTTTATTCCCGTGATGCTTGCCATTATAAATTTAATCGGCAAGGGAACTTCCTCTTTATTCCCGTGATGCTTGCCATTATAAACTTAATCGGCAAGGGAACTTCCTCTTTATTCCCGTGATGCTTGCCATTACAAACTTACTCTGGTAGGTTAACGTCACGCCACTCTTCGTCGTAGATATCAACGACACGACGAGGGTCTGTACATTCGAACACATCCGGGTATAGCTGGGTTGACCATTTAGCCAACTGGTGTTTAATCTGTTCTAAAGATGCTCCAGTCTCCACCTCACTTCTGATTTCTTTCCTTACAAATTCAAGGTAGCAGGCTACATCTGAAATAAAAGATATTTCTCTAGTTGCTTACATTGTACAAACGCCTGTTTGTCAGTGGTTGTCGTTTGTTGGTGTGGTTCATCAAGCGTTTCTCGTTTCTCGTTTTTTACATAGATAAGACCGTTGCTTTTCCTGTGAATTGTTTTACACTAGTCAATGTTATGCCCTTTATAGCTTGTTGTTCGGTGCGAGCCAAAGCTCCATGTTGAAGGCCGTACTTTGACCTATAATTGTTTACTTTCTATACATTGTGACTTGGATGGAGAGTTGTCTCATTGGCACTCATACCACATCTTATTTTTATCCATACTGCATTAAAAAAGAGTAATGGCAATAACCAGGCAGCAACAATGTTAACGGTGATACTGAAGACAGTCTTGACCTCTAGATGGCTCGTTGTTGCTTTCATTTTCTGTTAGTGTGAAATTGGATAACACTCAGGTAAAGAAAATAACTTCATTTTAGAATCGTATAAACCATTAAACTAAATAAATGTATATAGACCATACAAACCTAAACAAGATTAGTAATACATAGCGAGACTTTTACTATTTTCTGTTGTACCTACCGTGGAGTTCCTCCGTTTCCATATGATCAGCTACATCTCTACGTAAAACCTTTTTGAGCACCCAAAAAACTTACCATTGTCTGTTGTACCTACCGTGGAGTTCCTCCGTTTCCATATGATCAGCTACATCTCGACGTAAAACCTTTTTGAGCACCCAAAAAACTTTTCGTACAATTTTACCACGCCTTGAATTTGGGTCTTTCATATCATTTTTTCCACCTCTTGCCCTCCTTTCATCAACTGATGGGTTAGCATAGGATTTTGATGTTCCCATTTTATCAATTACTGACTGGATCTCTTTCCATGCTCCTGATATGAATTTAGACGTGGTATTCCTCAACATAGCTGAAATCAAAACTGGATTAATTTTCATGTTGTTGGTAAATCGTAGATTATTAACTTATCAAGTTACGCTGCTAACGTAAAATGTTAATTTTCGCCACGTCAAACTGACATATCGGAAAAAACAATTTTTCGACTGATTTTAATCATTAGCTTGAAAACGAGTATATTGACCCTTTATCACAATGACATTTGGTTTGATTATGTAAGAAGATTTTTTGTACCAATTGTTATGAAAAATCACCAATGGCACTTTTTTTTAATTAGATAAATATACATAAAAAAATGACGTTTTTTTTTCTAAAATCAAGAAAATTTGATAAAAATTATTTCTACAGAATTGTTATTAAGCAAAAATTCGCTTCTGTCTATCTTTTGAAACAAAAAAGTTAGACGTCTATCCAAAGGATATAGAAATGGCCAAGAAACCGAATTTTTTAGTATTTCTAAATTTCCAACCCCATGTATCTCTAAAAGAAACATACCAAAATTAATATATATTTTTATTAGACATTTGAATTTACTATGCGAAAAATAGCTTGTATGCAATTTGTAAAAAGGAACAGTGGGATCAACACTTTCGTATTCCCTTAACATTACACACGCTTTGAACGCACCAGCGGACAAATTATTCACACTCGGAGCCGATCAGTCTATGCTACTATATGCCACTTGCTGAGCAGACAAGTGAATGCTTGATCATGCCTTGAACGAATCATCGACCCCTCGAAATATAGGGTCGAGAAAGCTACCACCAAACCACCAATACGGTTCTCATAATTAAGGATAAGGTACAGTGCTGCCACCTACCAATCATCTTTTGTTAGGGGTTGGTGGGGGCATGTTTATTTTTATATTTAGTTCCTATTGAAAATTAGAAAAAAAAGGCTTCGATTTTTTTTCGTTTATACCTTATTGAACAAAAACAGTTTGTTTATGATTGTAATTGGAAAAAAATGTTAGCCGAAAAAAAATCCCATGCCCAACAAATGGTATAAATCAAAAAGTGTTCAATAGGTTTTTTTCTATATGTATGCTTAGGCCGAGTTGCAGAAAGAATAGAGGATTAACGATTAAAAAAAAACACTTCACCTGCTTTGCCTAAATCATTTGCCAAGCTTAAAATACCAGCAACCGTTTAATTTATTGAGCATCATGCAAAATGTTTACAGATCGGGATCAGGTTCTCGAGTGAAAACACTTAAAATGATTTTTATGAATATTTGAACTATTTGACTTTAATAAAGCCACATACATTCAAGAGAGCGAAAAAAGCTTCAGGAAAACTGCATAAAAAATGTGTAGAACTGTATCAAGTACTTAACCGTTATATTACGAACAGCAAGTTTTTTTTGCAGGTGGAAGGATTTCAATCTCGTCGTTATTAGCAGAGAATGCACAGAAATTAGTTGCGAGGCGCGCGATCTTGTAAACTTCTGTAAAATTATTTTATTTTCCATTATTTTGAGACATTGCATTGATTTATGTTAAGTATAATGATTATTAACGTACCGACAAAAGATGGTTGAATTTTATTACATTACTTTTAATTTTCTATACAAAATTGTATATAGCTTTCCAGTTGATAACAAAAGAGATTATAGAGAGAGATGTTGCGAGAAATTCTGAGATTCTAATCCTTCCACCTTAAAAACATATTTGCTAAAAGTTACTTACCGATCATCATTTGATTCAATTGGGTTCCTTTGCACTTATAACGCTCTGTAAGAAGAGACTTTGAAAAGTCCCGCATGAACTGTCTCAATGCTCTTTTTAGACCGATCTGGTCTTTCTTGGTCCAAAAGTCATCCAACAAAGGTTCATACACAGCAGCTTCATAACCATTTAATTCTGAAAAAGGGGAAGATGGGCAGCTACAGAGTAGGTAATTAGTCGAAAAGTTATATACTCCTAGTCAAAAGTCGTTAATATGTATAATTCACCTTATTTGTGTAATAGGTTGTTAAAAAAACATCTGAGGCTAATACAAAGTTCTTAAATCACAAGTTACCAGTTATAAGTATGACGAAGACAACAAGTCTTAACACGAGACTCATAACTGCTGTGCGAAATTGTGCTGTTAAATATAATACGCATTCTTGAAACACATATGGTAATTTTTCATTTGTTCTTCCAGGGTGTTAATGCACTCCTCTATAAAAGTAAGAGAAGTTAACCGAATAGGTTTTCAGTTAGAGCACTATCGAAACCGGTCGTTGACCATTTCTCATAGAAGTAGCAAAGAATGGGAGGAGACTAAACCAGTACTCCCAAGTTCCATCTCGGAAGTTGTTAATGCACTGTTTGGCTCCGCCTCCCTGAGACTAGTAAATAATGTAAGAATAAATCGAAATGTAGTAAAAATGACCATAAATTGTACTGTCATTTTGGTTTGAAACCTTTTTTTATCGTGTTGGAATAATATTCCAAAAACAATGTCGTCAGACAACAGAAGCGGTTTGGAACTTAAGTCATCTACTTCAACATATACGGCTTTCATTGAAACGGCAAGTGCCGACACCAAGGAAACATACGAAGTTTCGATTAACTTGTGCTTATATAAGGTAAGAAAATTAAGGAAAATCCATATTAAAAGAGTGCATAGGCCAATGTTTTAGAAATACGCATGTTAAGGTTTCCCTACCAAAACCTTTTTTTGAAATTCGTACCTAAAATGCCTACAGTTATTTTTTTATTGGTTTTGTAGGTCTCTGCCATATATACAAGGTAAACATGAGCAGAAGAAAGAATTTTAAACTACCTAGCCTATTCTCGTTGTACGAAAAACTTGGCCTAAATTCTTTGTTTGACCTTTTTACAAATAAAAGAAAAATGTGTCTGAGGACAGGAATACCCCCGGTAAAGCTTTGCAACAAAAACGGGACAGGGTGACGGACGGAAAGACGGAAGGATAGAAAGACGGACGGTCAAGGGAAACACTTAATGCCAAAGTCGACTAAGGCGAGGGCATAAAAAAGCTACTTTTGCTTACCTTTGCTATCCATGTTGGGAAATCTTCTAAAAACTGAAAGCAGTTTATAAAAAGCAGGTTTCATGCATTTATCTTTTTCTTCACTTGATCCAGATTCATCCTCACTAGATCCAGATTCACCACTTGGACTTGGGGTAGTTTTCCTACCATTTATTCTACGGAAAGATTTGTAAATACTTTGTGTAGGCGTAGACTTGGGTGTACTCTCGCTAGACATTTCCATATCTGGTTATGATAGAAATTTTTTTTTAAAAGAAACCTATAATTGTAATAGGAACCTTCCGCCGCAATTTTTAACAAAACTACTGTAAATTCAGAAATTATTGCGATGTTTTTATTATTGCGAAAAATGTGACAGGGTTATAATCGCAATAATTTAAACTCGCGTTTTGTATTTATTTATATGAATTAAATAGGATTTTTCTCAATATCGCAAAAATTAAAATCGCAATTTAGTCTAAAATAACAAAATCGCAATAATAAATGCACGCAATAATTTCTGAATTTACAGTAATTAGGCAATTTTGTTTTTAATATACTACAAATTATATATAGATTTACGAGATTGAACATCTAAGCCACTGTTTCCTTAATTAATCAGAGAAAATATAACAGTCAACTAAAAAAAATATCGACTGGATTGTTCAGGCACGTTTGTATTCCATCTTGTGAACTAGCACATTTCAGATCGCATAAGCCCGACAGGCAGTAATTAAGCAGAAGATTTTTTTTTCTCATTTCAGACATTATCATTTTATATCCGATCAAAAGACTGTCCGCAGGTGTTAAACATCAACACATCCGTGATCCAAAGCAGATTACATTTTTTGTTCAAGATGCCCAAATTAGTGTCCAAAATGCCCAAATTAGTGTTCTAGATGCCCAAATTAGTGTTCAAATTAGTTCCAAAAATGGTGTCCAAGATACCCAAATTGTGTCCCAAATTGTGATATATTGATACTTACTACCAAAAATATCCAAACTTCGAATCAATTTTTCAGCAAATTGTAGTTTATCCGAGGCTGAAATGAAATAAGAATGTGTTCAGCATTTACTTTAAGAAGTCAGTATTTACTCTACAGATGAGGGTAGGTAATCTACCAAATAGGGTTTACATTATTTCAAGAGGTATTTTTGTTCTAACAAGGAGTGTCACGAATATAAGTTTCCTGTAGGAAAACTGTAGGAATATAAGTTTCCTGTAGGAAAACTGTAGGAATATAAGTTTCCTGTAGGAAAACTGAAGGAATATATGTTTCCTGTAGGAAAACTGTAGGAATATATGTTTCCTGTAGGAAAACTGTAGGAATATATGTTTCCTGTAGGAAAACTGTAGGAATATATGTTACCTGTAGGAAAACTGAAGGAATATATGTTTCCTGTAGGAAAACTGTAGGAATATATGTTTCATGTAGGAAAACTATTTAACGTTCACTATGTGGTATTTATTGTTTTACAGGGACTTGTTCTTATGAAATTCATTATGCTTCCAAGTGAAGATTGCTCCAGTGTTAAATTTCTAAGTCATCAAAATCCTGTCCAATTCTTATTTAGGGAGCTACCATTTGATTTTTATGGGGGGCTAGGATGAAATTTGAAAAAAATAGGCAGGACAGGAGTTTTGAGTAAAAAAAAAGCAGGATGAGACACTTGCAAAAAAAAAAGTCAGGATGACAATTTAGGTAAAAAAAAGTCAGGATAAACTTTAAAAAAAAAGGTAGGACCGAATAGAGTGAAAAATAAAAAGGCAGGACAGAGATTACAACTAAAAAAAAAAATGCAGGACAACATTTTTCATCCTAGCCCCCCATAAAAATCAAATGGTAGCTCCCTTAAATATCTAAAAATGAAAACCCCAATTCTCGTGTTTATCATTTGTTTCATTCTACTATTTCCCAAAATGGAAAAGTCAAATATGATTTAAACAATCTATATTTCTTCTCCAGGAAGTAGAAAAGAACTTAATAAAATATTACATTATCTTCCTTGTACTAATTAATTTTTCATTTTGACATGAAGTATAATAATATCAAATGTTACACATTTAGAATAAGACAATAGTTTGAAATTGTGACGGGCAGAAATATATCAGGCAACAGAACGATCTGCATATTGTGAAAGTTTGCAAAATTCCGCAAATAAAAAAGAACAAAAAGAAGCTAATTGACTTAACACGGGAAATTGCAATAAGTCTGCACTTGGTCTTCGGTTTGATGAACTGTGTTTGAGCGTTTGATTTCGCTATTTTATAAAGTACTTTCCGTTCTGAATTTTCCTTTGGAGTTTTGGTATACTTTATTTTACTTTTCACTTAATATTGAGGATAAAAATGTCAAGTTTCCGCATACGGGAAGTTCTGCTTGACTGAATTAAATCACACGGTCCAACAAAACAAAAAGCTTCATCAGGACATGAAAATCAATAGCGCATATTCAGAAATTAAAAGAAACAACCATCGATCCGTCCTAATTTTTACCATAAAAAATTTACAATTACATTCAGTGTTTTCCTTTATTTCAATAAATAGGAACATATTTAAAACAAGTGTATTTAAGTTGCCAGCAAAAAAGTTTGAAATCCTAAAACATACTTACGTAAAAACTTCTGAAAGAATCCAACCATTTCATCTGCTGATTGTACATCATGGAATGGCTTTAATTCCTTAAAAACTCTCACTACAAACTTCTGAATTGTTCTTGATAAAACAATTTGTAATGGCTGGCGATATTTTGGTATAAATTTCTTCAAAGAGCGACTTACTAGTTGGAATAGTTCGTTTTTCTCTCTGAAATTATTAAAAGAAATAAAATTTTTTTTAGAAGACATGCGCGGTGTAAAGACGCAAGCACAATGGTCTCAAAACCCGGTTGTTGGGAGTGAAAACTGAATAAAAAATCCCTCAAAAAATTTTGGTGAATTATTTCCCTGATCCAGCCTAAACTGGAAGGTCTGTCGGAGAAAAGGGGGGGGGGGGAGGGGACAGATTTACTCATCATCTCGGTATACTGTACATCCGACTTCCTGTGTGCGAAAGCTGCATAGGAAAAGTTCAGATGCGAGAAAGAAATAGAAATAAATAAAGGATATTAATAATAAACAAGAATGTGTCCATAGTACACGGATGCCCCACTCGCACTATCATTTTCCATGTTCAGTGGACCGTAAAATTGGTGTCAAAACTCTAATTTGACATTAAAATTAGAAAGATTATATCATAGGGAATATGTTTACTAAGTTTCAAGTTGATTGGACTTAAACTTCATCAAAAACTACCTTGACCAAAAACTTTAACCTGAAGCGGGACAGACGGACGGACGGACGGACGGACGAACGGACGCACAAACTGAAAACATAATGCCGCTCTTCTATCGTAGGTGGGGCCTAAAAAACATTAGATTTTAATAAGACGTGTAAAAAGGTTCTAATTGCTAGTGATCACCCTATTAAATTTAGTTTAAACATTTTATTCGCATTTATACTAATCGACTAAGACACAATTTAAACACACTTCTGAGGTCTTGTCCATTTCACATTACTCTTTACTCCTTTTTTCATAGGGAGAAAAAAAAAGTAAAAATAATTTCACTAAAAGAAAAAGGTCTCTCCCACTTTCCTATTTCAATGATGCAGGTCCCTTTATACTTACTCTGGGAGATTAATCATCTTCCAATTTTCCTCATAGATCTCGACGACACTAAGAGGGTATGTACATTGAAACACTTCCGGGAAATCTTTGGTTGACCAATCAGATAACTGCTGTTTAATCTGTTGTAATGTTGTATCGTCAGCCTCGGCCTCCTTTTTTATGTTTTCTCTAACAAATCTAAGATAGCAGGCGACATCTGAAATAAAAAAGATGGTGCATGCAATGTCGTGCTAAGTATACCCCTACTTTTCATTTTTTGACACTGACGAAATTCCATGCTCAGCGAGTGTAATAAAAAATCAAGGTAATGCCAAACAAGAAGTGACTGCCCTACTACTTTGAAAAATGCTCACAGTAAACCTCACCATCATCAAGTTCCAGAACAAATATCAATTCAGAATACAGAAGCAAGAGAAATTTGACGAAAATGCAGTTGATATGAAAATTCAAGTATCGTCACTGACAGGTATAGCCAATTTCAATGCACCAGGTGTGCTTTACTACAATTAAAGTCTCTTCAGTGATGCTCGAAGCCAAAATATTAAAAGTCATAAATCATAAATATCAATGTTTAGGAGTCGATCAAACCTAAAAAGGTATAAAAATATAGCCGAATCTAGACAAGGAATCCGAACTTTACACGAGGGAGGTATATTCTTTTATCTAAAATAATTTATTCATAGCGTCAAATTTTAATCAAACAATATCTCAGACTGTATAATCATGCCAATACGCCAGTACTTAGCTGGTGATGACGTCGGGGACTTGCAGTCCATGCACCAGTAGAGGTATTGAATCAGTGGTAGTTAACATCAACGATATCAATTTTACTGCAGCAAATGCGCGTTACGACAATTTTAAAAGTCTCTTCAGTGATGTTTGAAGTAATCTGCTCTGCAGAGCATATGAAGCAAATGACAAGAGGTACCTTGTCATTTTATACATTGTATTTTCAGTCAAATATAACAAATAAATAAACAGTCAGACCAAATTTGTTTAACTATCGCCTAATGGTATGAATAGAAGGGATTACTTGGCATTTCTTAACAGATTAGGGCTAGAGTTATTTCAAGAACCGACGTACTGTATAGAAAAGGTTACAATCAAAGCATTAATAAAATTGAGAATGGAAATGGGGAATGTGTCAAAGAGACAACAACCCGACCACAGAACAGACAACAGCAGAAGGCCACCAACAGGTCTTCAATGCAGCGAGAAATTCCCGCACCCGGAGGCGTCCTTCAGCTGGCCCCTAAACAAATATATATACTAGTTCAGTGATAATGAACGCCACACTAAACTCCAAATTGTACACAAGAAACTAAAATTAAAAATACAAGACTAACAAAGGCTAGAGGCTCATTAAGTTTATTTACCCATTTGATGTCTTTTATGTATTTTGTTTTTTTAAGGAATACATTGAACATACATTAAGATAGTTTGGCTAATATAAGAAATATGTTGGGAGTGGTGTATGGCATTGGAATTTAAAAAAGACATCACGAACCGTAATTGTGAATGGACAACCTAAATGAGGCCCCTCATGGGGGTGTCCAAGTAATCGCATAATCACAAATTTTTTGCCAATATAATCACATAATCATTAAATATTTTTTAAACAAGATAATCAAATAATCAAAAATATAGTTCTAGATTATCAAATAATCAAATAATCATGAAATATTTGGTCTGGTAATCAAATAATCACTATAAAAACGGCAAAGTAATCACATAATCAAAAATTCCATTAGGGGGCTTCTAAATTGAACACTAACACTTGTATGCAGATCAGATAAGATTGTTTTAGTACGTACCACCAAGTTCCCGAGTCTCAAGATGATTGATTGAATTCTTATATAATACATCTCTGAGCACATTAAAAGCTTTTCCAACAATTTCTCTATCATTTGTTCTGGTTTTTTTCATATCAGATCGATCTTTGTTTGAATATTGTGCAGCATTTGATTTTGGCTTTATCTGATCAACTGCAGACTGAATACTTTTCTTTCCTTCTGACATGAGGCGGTTACTTCTATTCTTCAAAATAGCTATATCAAAAGTGAAATTAATTATACATTTGGTACAAAAGATCACAAGATCATAAACACAGTAATTGAAACTTTAAAAACTTATTATTACAAAATCTACAATAATGACACTATATAAGATCTACAAATATGCAAACATAATTGCTTGCAATGAGGTCAAAACACAAATATTAAAAATGGCATTATTTTTACCACGTGACCGATTCAGGCTCTTTTGATTATAAATAAACTCATCATAGATGCCAGGATTGAAATTTTATATTTACGCCAGACGCGCGTTTCGTCTACAAAAGACTCATCAGTGACGCTTGAATAAAAAAAAAAATGTTAAAAAGGTCAAATAAATTACGAAGTTGAAGGGCATTGAGGACCAAAAATTACTAAAAGTTTTGCCAAATACAGCTAAGTTAATCTATTCCTGAGGTAGAAAAGCCTTAGTTTTCCAAAAATTCAAAGTTTTGTTAACAGTTAATTTATAATTATGAACATATTAATGATAACTCAAATCAACACAGAAGTGAGCACGTTATCAAAATCATCACCCCCTCACACACACAATACAATTTTTTTTTTCTTAAAACAAGTAGGTAAGATTGTGGTCCCTGTAAATACAAAGCAATGTACCGAAATGTAGCTCTTAACGATTGCGTTCATGAGGGCGTGGATGAGGGTTTACAGAGAATAATGGACAAAAAATATAAAGAATAGAGAAAAATCTACAAAAGAAATAGAGAAAGAGAATGAGGTGCTAAATTATAAAGAATAGAAAATGGTAAAAAAAATATTAAAAAATGGAGAAAAATGGTATAAAAAAATGAATACAAAAATGAAGGACCCCCATCCAGACCCTCAATGCAATTTGTGTAATATCTACTTACAGATTAATATTTGATTCAATTGTGTTCCTTTACACCGGTAACGCTCTACAAAAAGTGACCTGGAAAAGTCCTTCATGAAAATATCCAGGGCTTGATCTAGACCAACCTTATCTTTGGTGTTCCAAAATTGATCTAAGAAAGGTTCATACACAACAGCTTCATAACCATTCATTTCTGAAAAATAACACGAATTTGGTTTTACAATAATCTTTAGATTGCAACAAGTTAAAACTAATATTTAATTTAAATTCAATTAGGTTTGATTGGGTTTTCTGCTAAAAACTTAAAATGAATTTTTGCATGCAGTTACATCCTTCTAAAATTCAAACTGACCACACGAATGATACACGCACGGACGATACACGTATGGAGAAATACAGAGTATGCAATATTTAGTTTTACCCATCTAGTTATCGGAATAACGACCCACTTTCAAGAACGCCTGCACAAAGTGACTGAAAAATACATAAAAAGTTATCACAAGGTCTCCGATAATACGGCAAATGCCTACATCATTTTTAAAAAGTATTGATAAACGAGTATTAAAATGTGATCTGTACTTCAGAGTTATAGGTAGATTCTTAATTATCGTATACTAGTTAGTATATTACTCGTGAATGATTATAAATAAGATGTGGTATGAGTGCCAATGAGGCAACTCTCCATCCAAGTCACAATGTGTAAAAAGTTAACAATTATATGTCAAAGTACGGCCTTCAACACGGAGCCTTGGCTCGCACCGAACAGCAAGCTATAAAAGGCCCAAAATGACTAGTGTAAAACAATTGAAACAGGAAAACCAACGGTCTAATCTATATAAAAAATGAGAAACGAGAAACACCTATGAAACACGCCAACAAACGACAACCACCTAACAACAAGCTCCTGGCTGAGGTTGGAAATTGTGGACAGAGTAAACCATCTTTAAAGTTTTCTTAAACAAAAAAAGAAAAAAAAAAAAAAAAGGGGTTTACCTACCTGCCCTGTTTTTGTTGTCAGAAAAATACCTATACTCAGATTTATATTGGTTCTTGTTGGAGCAAATCTCGATACTGTCTCAATCTCCCTCATATACCCGAGGTAAAACAAAATGAGCAAATTAAAAGAACTCGAATTTGCATGCCTATTTTCTAAATGTGAAAGACCTAAACGTTTGCTTACCTCTGCTATCCGTGTTGGGAAATCTTCTAAACACTGAAAGCAGTTTATAAAATTCAGGTTTCATGCATTTATTTTTGTCTTCTCCAGATTCATCCTCACTGGAACCCGATTCACCACTTGAACTTGGGGTAAATGGTTTACCACTTTTTCTACGGAAAAAATTGTAAATACTTGGGGTAGGCGAAGATATGGGTGTACTTTCGCTAGACATTTCGATACTTGGTTCGGGTGTATTTTCGTCCGATATTTCACCACTTAGTCCGGGTGTATTTTCGTCCGATATTTCACCACTTAGATCGGGTGTATTTTCGTAAGATATTTCACCACTTAGATCGGGAGTATTTTCGTCAGATATTTCACCACTTAGTCCGGGTGTATTTTCGTCCGATATTTCACCACTTAGATCGGGTGTATTTTCGTAAGATATTTCACCACTTAGATCGGGAGTATTTTCGTCAGATATTTCACCACTCGGTCCAAAGTTACTCTGTCCAGATGTCTGTTCACTCTGTCCAGTGACCGATATTTCACCATCCAGTCCCATCATGTCACGTCCTGCTAAAACAAAAACAAAACAAAATGGTACATACGAGAGTCTGGATGGGGTTTACAAAATAATGATAAAGTGCATATAAAGGGCAAAAAATAAATAAATAAGAGAAAAAAATGCAAAACAAATATAAAAAATGGAGAATAATGGGGTGCTAAACTAAAAAAGAATGTCAATTGATGGAGTAGAGAAATATAGATTTCACCACTGCATCAAGTGTGTTACGATATTTCTCCACTCGAGACAGTTAAATTCTAATATTTAAAGCGAGAGGCTTGCCGAGCTTTTTAAATAATTAAAATTTAACTTGAGAGTGGAGAAATATCGTAATACACGAGTTATAGTGGTGGAATCCGTTTCTCTAATGATTTTTTTCTTACTTTTCAAAGATTTGCAGAAAGTTGTGTTCTTTATATGTGACGTCATCAGGCATGGTCGCCTTTTTTCATGACGTCATAATAGGAAATTCAGAAGAAACCAAGAAAATTTGACGTCATAATTAAACTTCGACCAATAATTTGCCGAGAATAGATATTTCACGCGTGAGGAGAAATATTTTTTCTCACCGATCAAGAAATGTGAAAATAGCGCAAAAATTAGAGAAAAATGGTCTGAAAATAACAAATGAAGGATTCCCAGACCAGGATATATTTCGAATTTTTGTAAAGCTACAAATGTTTGTTTATTAATATTATGTTCTATTGTATGACTCATAAATGCAAAAAAAGTCAGCACTATTTATGTGTGACGGGATTGCTACCCTTGAGTAGTAAATATTTAGTCAGCCGAAAGCAGTGGAGGTACATTTTTTTTGTAGGGAAGTACTTCTATAGCTCAGTCGTGTAGAGAGTTGAATTGTAACACAGACAGGGTTCGAGTCCTGTAAAAGACCATGTGATTTTCTTAATAGATTCATGCTCTCCGGCTACGCATGGAATAAATGATTCTATAAATTGTCAACCGAATAAAGCAGACAATTTGCTATTTTTTTCTTTTTCTCCGGAACTTTGTGTAAATAGGAACGAAGTTCTTCTGCCAATTTCATTTCGATTTGTTCCGTCATACTATACTTTATACTCTAGGCCACATTTCACAAGAGCAATGTCAAAATAAGGAGATACTGTATGATGGACTAAAACAAGTTTGTGCCTCCGGGTGCGGGAATTTCCCGCTGCATTGAAGACCTGTTGGTGACCTTCAGCTGTTGTCTGTTCTATGGTCGGGTTGTTGTCTCTTTGACACATTCCCCATTTCCATTCTCAATTTTATTGTGACTGGAAACACGTTTGTGAGCGCTTCATAGTGGTATTATTGATATGACCATAACTTCATAGTGGTATTATTGATATGACCATAACTTCATAGTCGTATTATTGATATGACCATAACTTCATAGTCGTATTATTGATATGACCATAACTTCATAGTGGTATTATTGATATGACCATAGCTTCATAGTGGTATTATTGATATGACCATAGCTTCATAGTGGTATTATTGATATGACCAGAACTTCATAGTGGTATTATTGATATGACCAGAACTTCATAGTGGTATTATTGATATGACCAGAACTTCATAGTGGTATTATTGATATGACCATAGCTTCATAGTGGTATTATTGATATGACCAGAACTTCATAGTGGTATTATTGATATGACCATAACTTCATAGTGGTATTATTGATATGACCAGAACTTCATAGTGGTATTATTGATATGACCAGAACTTCATAGTGGTATTATTGATATGACCAGAACTTCATAGTGGTATTATTGATATGACCAGAACTTCATAGTGGTATTATTGATATGACCAGAACTTCATAGTGGTATTATTGATATGACCAGAACTTCATAGTGGTATTATTGATATGACCATAACTTCATAGCGGTATTATTGATATGACCAGAACTTCATAGTGGTATTATTGATATGACCATAACTTCATAGGGGTATTATTGATATGACCATAACTTCATAGTGGTATTATTGATATGACCATAACTTCATAGTGGTATTATTGATATGACCATAACTTCAAAGCGGTATTATTGATATGACCATAACTTCATAGTGGTATTATTGATATGACCATAACTTCATAGTGGTATTATTGATATGACCATAACTTCATAGGGGTATTATTGATATGACCATAACTTCATAGTGGTATTATTGATATGACCATAACTTCATAGTGGTATTATTGATATGACCATAACTTCAAAGCGGTATTATTGATATGACCATAACTTCATAGTGGTATTATTGATATGACCATAACTTCATAGTGAAATATCTTGACCGCAAAATGACGAACGCACATACTGTACTTTCGTAGGCCGAGTATAAAAAAATCAGTTGGAAGACATGATTGTTTTGAACAGAGTTGGTCTTGCACATTATCGATTTAAAGCCGATACCAGCAGGCCACCCTTAAACAATTCTTTGTTTGATGTTGCCTACCCATGCTTTGTAGGGTTTGGTAGGTAGAGATTTTTTTTTGCCAAAAACATAAGTTACATGTTTCAGACAAGAAAACGACATAAAGCAGGAAAAAAGTTAAAAAAACAAAAAAACAAAAAAAACAAATTGAACCGATTTGTCTCATAGAATTTTTCGGGCAGGTTGCCTTTTTAGGGATAAATTATCGTTCATGATGGCGAAACCGGTTTGTTGGTTTCTTTTTTTTTTTTTTTTTTTGCTTAAAGATAAATTTTCCAACCTAACAAGAAAGCAAAATATAAACATTATTATATTAACATTCATATAGTTTGACGCCAATTGTTTTCAAGTGAAGATTTGGGAATACTTATCACCAAAGTTCAATTTTCCCTTTAAAATATTCAAATTCTATTTTAAAAAAAAATCTTTTTAAAAGTACATTTGTGCATTTTTTTAATCTCAAAAAAAGAAAAAAAAGAAACAAACTACCAGCAGTCAGACGAAAACAAAATGTTGCAAGCTGAATTCCTTTTTCCATGGTAAAAGGCAGTAGAAGTAAGCAGGGTCGACAACTCGCCATTTCATAATCTAAAGGATTGTGGCTAATTTCATTGTTGGTACCCCAAAATGAAAATTACGTCACGTCATTGGTTGAATTCTCATTGTATAGGACGTTGTAAGCAAATAACAAGTGTTGATGTACGCTTGTAAAATAATTATCCACAATTCATAAGACTTTGAAACGACGAATTAACATATTGAAAGTGATTGAGGCAATTTTGGCAAATTCAAAAATATTTTCATGCAAGTTTGCCCATTCTCTCTTCTTTACATTTCAACATCCCCATTCTTCCCCATTCTATGAATTTTAACCCCCCCCCCCCCCCCCCCCCCATTATTCCCAATTCTTTTTTTATATATTCGGTATACCTTTACCAGATGATCTGAAGTGTCACGTGACGGTATTTGCAAAATTGTGGACAATTATATCTCTCAACGATTCACAACTTACCGTATGTACGGCGATATTCACTATTTTGTCCACCACCGTTTCCTGGATATGGAGATTTCATCGATTTAGTTTCGAATTCCTCCGATTCGAACTGTGGCAATTCCCCACCGATTGGCGTTGGATTTTCACCACGTGACCTTCGATATCCATTAAATCCAAGAGCTGAAATTTTAAATCTTTTAGTTTATATATTTTTATTCATTTACATAGAAGTGTTATCAGCAAAAAGTTCAGATTTTGGCAATTAAACCAGAAAAAGACGAGATAGTACAGCGATTCATATTGCCATACGAAAGCAGTGATAAGGTATCAAGTTGATGACAGAAAAATTGAGATTTCATTCCAAATCCAGCTTAAGTGTTATTGCATCAGGAATATTTGAGACCGCGACTCTTTTCCTGTTTTTTTTTCAAAACTAATAGCTCTTTTCAGAACAAGAGAAAAGATAAATATTTTTAACTTCTATGTAAATCAGATGTAATTCTCCAATATCTTCGAGACTGACGCCCCTCAGATATGAGAGTATTTCATCTAATACTTGTATACAGTTAAAACAGACGATCGTCTTACTTATAAATCAATATTTTCATATCGATAAAACGGAAATGTTTACCTTAACAGCAATAATTTTAAACAAATATTCAATAGACATATTTGATTAAATCGCAAATATAATTTTTTTAAAAATGAAGTTTTCGCTGTTCTTTATGTATATTCTAATAGAAATAGTATATAGACCTTTTTCACAATATTTTATTTATTATATCGCTGGAATCATAAATTTGGAAAATATGAACTTTCCGATATTCAAATGCAGGTCAACAAGTTCTAAATGCATACAAAATGTCATCAAAATCCGAAATATTTTCCCAAGGACGATTATACAACAGACCGCAATCGGCAATCCTCGGGTGAATCCGCTACTCTTCCTTCAAGATATAGGAACGGAATCGGCCGAGTTTAGACGAGTGTGCAGACAGCTGTTGCTGAACGATCGGATTAACGAATACTAACCTTGCAATGGTATTTTTAAACACGTAGTATTCATAGTTTGACGAGTACTGTGAAGGCATTGATCTTTTTACGACTGTTTTAACATTGCTTAATTTGTAAAAGTTGACCAAATTGAAGGCGGATAGAGCGCAACAGATTAATTTCGCTAAAGTACGGTTATTATTGATGGTTCCAGTTGGAGTACAATAAGCATTTTAGCTCACAATTACATGGCATGTATCACTGTATCATCACCACCGGATATAGGTACTCTTGGCCTGGTTCTCTATTCATTTTCTAAGAAAAACTACATTACTGTACATATACATGTATCAACATAGGTACCCAGGTATACGCTGTTATTTGTACAGTAATGTTTTTCTTAGACAATGAAGATAACCAGGCCAAGGGTACCTATATCCGGTGGTGATGATACAGTGTGTATGTACCACGAGAATCTGTTAGTTTGATTGGCTTACAATGGCGTGTCATTCAAAATTAATCTTCATATCAAAATGAAATGATACATTAGTGACGACACGTGCTTCCACAAAAAGTGTACAGGTAAAAAGAAAAACTTGATAAAACTTTTTTTCATGGTCTTAGCATAAAAATGTAATTATAAGTAATTTGATAGGGTTTTAAAACTTTAAAGTGTTGATCGTACACACATTTTTAGAATGAAGCGCTTCCGCACATCATACAAAATGTGCTTCGGTCAACACTTTTACACTCCAATAAAATTACAAAATGAAGCATTCATTTCTTAAGTAAATTCGTCTTTATGTTATCAATCAAAAACTCAATTTTTTTTATCGAATTGGTAAACATTTAAAGAACTTAATGTGCCATTTTGTATAAAATAAGATATTTTATCAGTATAAAATCCAAACAGATAGCCTCGTATGAATAATAATGATTGATTGGTTGGTGTTAAACACCACTTTCAGCACTATTGTGCTATTTTTTGGCGGTCAGTTTTTATTGGTAGAGGAAACCTGAGTGCCTGGAGAAAACTACCGACTGCGGTAGGATAACTAACAATTAGTCAAAATAGATATGAGTCGAGCGCACCTGGCACGTGCGGGATACGAACTCACAACCTCAGTATTGACAGTCTAGTGGTACGGTAGTTTCGACTACTTAGACCACTCGGCCACCGAGACCCCAGGATGACTAAAAAAATACAAATAATAAATACAAATAATAAAAACAAATAATAATAAAATACAAACATGCAACATGTAGCATTGACAAAAGATCCAAAGTTTTTCCTTTTTTTAATTTTGGTGATCAAAAACTTCAAAACCAGCAACCACTCTCCAAGAACTATATTAAGCATTACGGAAACTTGACTATCACTATCCTCTATTATAGCTTTCAATGTCAACTATTACTATATTTCAAGTATGGGAAAACTGAGATTTGTTTTCTACTTTGTCCTTAATATAAGGTATATTTCTTTCATTATGTGGACTTATTGTGCAAAGTTCACATATTGACACAAACTAGGTTCCAGAGGCGGATTTAGAGGGAACAGGGACCCAGGCCATTCTTATGGAGCTACATTTATGGTAAATGCATAGACTTTTAACATGTTAACCTCCTAACGTTGACTAGTTAATTCCTCTTTTCATAACTGATCATAACTCCACATGTGTACGGACGGGGAGACGTTTATATGTGAAAAGCGTATTCTAACAAGATAAAAATTGAAACTTATTTCACTTACCTCCCACGCAACATAGAACGAATATAACTCCACCCAACTTCATCCTGGACAGTCTCTGTTAAGAAATATAACGTTATTGTCTTATATAGTATCCCATCGAATGTCATGCACGAAATTTACATTTAATGTTTGGCGCGTTAATCTGTGGAGGAGTTTAACAGGTTTATTAGATACAAAAAAGGTTGATAGAATTATAATTTAATTACATTTTTGCTGAATTTATTTCAAAACACTGATGCTTGTCGAAGTTTCTGTAATATTTTCAATTATTTTTTTAAAAGGTGAGTAAATATAATTAAATAAAGATATCCCAATTTGTACCTCAAAATGACGCATATCAAATTTTTGATTTCAATCCACATTAAATAAAGACAATTCGGAACTAGTAAAGTTTCTTTTTCATTGAAAAAAAAAACAAAATCGTTTTTCACCCATGTCTTATCTTACACATATGAAGACAAAAGATCATAGTAATATGATGACTAGAAGATATTAAAAGTAAATGTAAAAACAAAATCGTGATTAAACAAACAAATAAACTAAATCTTTGTTTTATGCTGCATCAGCACAAAAGGCTATATCGCTACGAGTAAAAAAACACCAAATAAGATAAAAACAAAGCATAAAAAACTAAAAAACAAACAAACAAAAACAAACAAACGAAAAACTATCAAACACTTAACCGAGGGTTTGGATATGGGTCCTTCAATCTGTATTCTTTATATTTTTTGCCCATTATTCTCTATTCTTTATATTTTTTGCCCATTATTCGCTATTCTTTATATTTTTTGTACATAATTCTCTATTCTTTATATTTTTTTGTACATAATTCTCTATTCTTTATATTTTTTGCCAATTATTCTCTATTCTTTATATTTTTTGCCCATTATTCTCTATTCTTTATATTTTTTACCCATTATTCGCTATTCTTTATATTTTTTTGCCCATTATTCTCTATTCTTTATGTTTTTTGTCCATTATTCTCTATTCTTTATATTTTTTGCCCATAATTCTCTATTCTTTATGTTTTTGGTCCATTTTTCTATATTCTTTATATTTTTAGCCCATTATTCTCTATTCCGTAAACCCCCATCCAAACCCTCATAACCGAATAAAAAAATATAACAGAACAAATGCAGTAAAAAAAGACCAACCTTTCGGTTAATATCTTCATATAACACTTGTTTCGGTTTAATATCTTTACATCTAAGACGACATGCAGTATATAAGAAAAGAAAAATACAATACAAATGTAAAAAGAAAAGCTTTGACGAAAGAATTCGAACAGCAAAACTGAGACCACATTTACACGCCAGCTTAAGATATACCCCACGACACTTACCAAGGAGGAAACCCTGGATAATCATAGGTCTGTTGTATGTTCCTTTGGAATTTCAACCAAAGATGAAGAATTGGATCTTCCTTCACTGTATTGGATACTTTAACTACATAAGTTTCCTTACAAACAACGGTATATTGCTGGGTCTTCCAAGTGCTCCACGAAACCTCTTTCTAAATTAATAACATCAACCTTATCAGCAATCAAAGCCGGGTTTCAAAGTTCCTGTGAAACTACATATTCTAGAGGTGGCGTGAATCAGATGTGGATACTAAAAAATTCCAAAGAACTTTTAGAGTACATACAATCTAAGACTCTTTTATCTTGCAATAGTATTAAAACATTTGACTTTTCTACACTTTACACAAGTATTCCCCATTCCAAACTAAAAGACAAATTGAAACAGTTGGTCATGCTTTGTTTCAGAAAAAAGAATGGCATACCTAGATACAAGTTTCTTGTCTTAAGGAGGGATAAATCGTACTTTGTAAAAAATCATTCTTATTCAAACAAAAAATTCTCTGAAACTGACATTATCAAGATGCTTGATTTCTTGATTGACAACATATTTGTTACGTTTGGGGGACGTGTTTTTCAACAAACAATCGGCACTCCAATGGGAACCAACTGTGCTACTCTTCTTGTCGACTTGTTACTTTATTCATATGAGCTGACCTCATACAGGAACTTCTTAGGAAGAAAGAAAAGAAGTTAACAGTATCCTTTACCTTCACTGTCCGCTATATAAATGATGACTTTGTTCTATCACTAAATAATTAAAAATTTGGTAACTATGTTGAACGCATCTATCCCATCGAACTTGAGATAAAGGATACTACAGATACAGTTAAGTCTGCCTCATATCTTGACTTACGTCTAGAAATTGATGGTTAAAAACAAAGCTTAACGACAAAAGAGCTGATTTCAGCTTCCCAATTGTGAACTTTCCATTTCTATGTAGCAACATTTCAGCAGCGCCTGCATACTGAGTATATATCTCCCAGTTGAAACGATATACCATGGCTTGTGTTTCCTATTATGATTTCCTTGATAAAGGGTTGCTGCTCACAAGGAAGCTATTAAACCAAGAGTTAAAAGTGGTGAAGTTGAAATCATCCCTTCGTAAATTGTACGGACGCCATCACGAGTTGGTTGACCGTTATGGAATATCTGTTTTACAGATGACAAAGGATATGTTCCAATTGTCGTAACTACAATCTCGTCCACTTTCCCCCGAATGTGACCTATCGATTTAGACATATCACCGGGTTTGTACTTACATGAGCAACACGACGGGTGCCATATGTGGGGCAGGATCTGCTTACCCTTCCGGAGTACCTGAGATAACCCCTAGTTTTTGATGGGGTTCGTGTTGCACAGTCTTTGGTATTCTATGTGTACTGTTGTTTGTCTGTTTGTCTTTGTCTTTTTCTTTTTCTAGCCATGGCGTTGTCAGTTTATTTTCGACTAATGAGTTTGAATGTCCCTTTGGTATCCTTCGCCTCTCCTTTAAAGCTCAGAGTTTCGCCAAATCACAATGTGGAATTAAAACTTCATGTGGGTCCACCAACTCCTAGGGCGGCAGTATTCTTTATTCATCCTGCAATCAGTCAACTATTAATAACAGGTACACTAATACTTTTTTGCATTATATGTACTTGTACAATTAAAATCTCCTGTTACCCCCGCTTCCATGTTGAGCAAGCGGAAATGTGCATATTTCTTTTTGCGAAACAGTTTATTTTGCGGTCCTCTTCGCGGTCCATGTTTAAACTGTCGATTTATATATAAAAAAATCAGAATCAATTATTTGGATTTAAACCACTGAAGCTTCAAGTGCCGGGTGTAAATTGCAGGATACAAACAATACATGTACGTTGTCGGAAATATATAAAATATGTTTGTACTCGCAACAAAACAGATTTCTTAAGCTCGTACAAATAAGTTTTATATTTTTCGACAATGTACATATCTTGTATATACAGTATAGTTCTTTGCCTATGGAACTACTCATCTTTTTTAGTCTTATAGGTATATCAAAAGACGTGAAATTGGCTTATCGGTTTTAAACGAAAAACATACTTTTGGGTCACAAGCTTATTTCCTTTTGTTGACAGAATCAATTAAGGGTATATATTGTCCATATTATCATTCTGATTCCTGAAAGAAATTTGGTGTAGCCGTTAATTAATGGTCCATAATTCGACAGCAGCACTCCACTTTAAAAAGTGTTTTACGAACAAAATAACCTTATAGTTGACGGTCTGTTGAGCGGGAGTGCAGTCAAAATTTTATAAAGATAATTAGGAATCGATGAATATTTCAATGATTTTATATATAAAAATGTCAGTATATATAGCAAGTCTTTGCTATGGTGCCAGGTGACCGATTTTCGCTCATAGGAATCTGGAATTTAATTTATTAAAATTAAACGAAAATGTGAGACTATGTATGTCAAAAATTTGAATTTACAACTGAAATTGGGCGCTTGGCATAATAATTCATTTGCTCCGAGTACACAAATATAGTCCCTAGTGTGGACAGTGTGTTACTTGCCAATTTTTTTTATACCCCTTCCAAATTTATTTCTCCATGTTTTATGCCTCAAATAGCAAGTAGGGGGATTAAATTACACTGTAAAAAAATTTGGGTCATGAATTTTAAAGTAAAGTAGTGATTTGGTCCAGCTGAAAAATGTTAAAAATAAGCACTTCGGAAGCTGTCAAAAGATTTCAAGACCCCCTTAACATAAAATTGTCCATATTTTGAGTTAGAGCCGATGAAGTTTTCTATAATTTTGATATAATTTGTACCAAAAGTAGTACAAAACACTGTAAAAATATTATTGAGAAAGCGCAGGTGGGATTTTTTTATTTTCATTTATTGTCTAAAAGAAATGCACTACGAAATAACTGTGTACTCGGACCATTTACATGTCTGTTTCATTAGAAATCCGACCGCCTCAGTGGTCTCGTGACAGTGTGTTCGCCTCGATTGCGGGGGGTCGTTGGTTAGAACCCCGGCCGGGTCAAACTAAAGACTTTACAATTGGTATTTGCTGCCTCTCCGCTAAGCATGCGACAATAAGGAGTAAGAGCAAAGACTGGTCAGATCGGAGTAAGAATAATGTGTCCGGGTAAGGTGACATGTCTTCCTGTGGACTGTTACCTTGTCAGCTAGCACGTTAAAAATCCGGCTTAGCGTGTCGTTCTTGTACAAATCAGGGTAAATATTCATATTACATTAACATGTTCTCGTCCTGAATATACATATTAATTTGCTGCTGGACGTTAAGCAGCGATCAATCATCATCATCATTAGAAATCCGTACTTTTGACTGGCTGACAACAATCGTGATCTAGGCACTCCAATATTATAGATCCGTAAAAAATACAACAGCTATGTCTGCATGTGTTATCCGTGGCAATGTTAAAACAATACAAAGAAAAAGAAACGAAAAGCTTGATATAACTCTCAATTAAATGATTGTGGCATAGCAATGTATATATAAGAATTAAATGATTTTTTTTATAGTTTTATAGGCTTGTAATAGCGTTGATCATGTGCACATTTTTAGAGTGAAGCGCTTCAGTGCTTCATACAAAATATTCTTCAGTGAACGCTTTTACATCCAAATAAAATTAAAAAAAAGAAGCAATCAATTCTAAGTCGAGTGAATCAAAGTAAAAGGGAATGCTGTATGTATGGTTTGTGCAGATGACAACGGATATGCTACATAAAATATATTTCTGGATCATAAAAA